CAAATAGGAATATTTATTTTTACCTGGATATAGATAAGGGACTTTGAAACCACGGAGTTATTTTATTACTAAACAATACATGCACCTGCCCAGTGAAAAGCTCTTTCTTTTCCAGAGATTTTTCTCTGACCTCAACAAACTTGCTTCCCGAGCTTGTATTGTGGTTTTATAAATTATTTGGTGTGGTTTAAATTTAATGTACATATAGTTTGTTATAATTAAAAATGGAAATCGCATAAAAGTTTTATTTAAATTAAAAATATTTCAGGACGAAATATGAATGGGAAACGGGGAAACGAATGATCCATACCAAAACCAAAAAGACCAAGCTTTCCCCCCCTCAATTAACATAAAAAACAGCACAAATTTCATGTGCCAGATGAAAAGAAATTAAATAATGCTGGACATAAATCAGTGAAATTTAGAAGATTCAGGTAGTGTACATTTTGTAGTGCCAGGAAGAAACCTCATAGAACAAGATACATGTACGAAATGTGGGTCTATGCATATATGAAGAAAACAAAACATGCTTTGAACAGTGTCACAAACAAATGTATTCTTTGAAATTAAAAAAAAACTCTGTGTTGTTTTTTATCCTTACTTTAGAGTTTTTTTATCCATTTATCCGAACGTCCTCATTATGTAGGTAGTACTTATATTTTCACTGCTATAGAAAAATTACATAAATGTTTATTTTTAAATTTTTCTGGCGATATACTTTGTAAAATAATGTTTAAAAATTTACATATAATGCAATTCTTATATATATTTTTTTAAAATCGTAAATTTCATTTGTTGAAAGTGTGCACGGAAAAAGGTAAATTTTTTTTTTCCTGCTACCTCAATAAGTTTCAAAGTCTTTGACACGCGCTGGTTTCACAGTGCGACCACCACCCACAAAACAATGGGCAAGAGTAGATTTTCTTTTTTTTTTTTTTTTTTTAAATTCATATATTACTTGTCTCTAGGACCATAACATTCAATTTCTAGAGTTTTTAGTTAAAAAAAAAATTATAAAAATAATATAGCACGTATCAAAAGGTTAAACAGTATGTCACCGCATACACAATTTATCCCTGAAAGTAATGAATGTTAAGGATGTTTTGTCTACAGTTTATGCCTCTGATTATGATTCAAATGCAAAAGGTAATCAAACTAGTCACATTTTGTTGTGTACTGCATTAATAAAAGTTCAAAATTCTGAACAACAGTTTGTGAAGTGTAGATGCTTAATGTAATACTGGATCTCGGAGATAATTTATTTCAGGAGACTGTGTGAAGAAATTAGAATTGCAAGTGAAAGATAATCCCATTTTTGTATCTTGTTGTTTAGGAGAATTTAATACTGTGAGTAATGGGGAAGTCGATTTATTATTTACTTCTCATTTTAAAAGTGATATTCATGTATCAGCATTAGCATTTGTATTGGGTAAGGTGACAGGTAATATTTCTCATGTATCTTTACCACCAGTCATCAAAATTTCCAAATGTGTAACCTTTAACAGATCAAGAAAAATTTTGCGAAGAACATTTTGAAAGTTCTCATTTTAGAGATAAAACAGGCCATTATTCAGTTGCACTACCATTCAAACATAATAGAGATGTGTTATGTGATTCCTGGGAAATTGGCCTACAGAAGATTTCAGTATTTAGAGAAGAGACTGCTATCTATGCTAGGAATTTACAACCAGTATATTCAATTAATGAAAGAATATTTTTCACTGGGACAAGTAGAAGTAGTGTCACACACAGATCATGAATTAGAGAATAAACATTACTTTATATTGAATACACATCACTTCATATTGAAGGAATCTAGCTTACCAACAAAACTGAGATTTTCTGTGATGGGAGTGCTAAAACAACCACAGGTGTTTCTTTAAATAATACATTAATGATAGGTCCAAACACACAAGATAATCTAATTTGTATTTTAATAAGATTTTGACTTCATAATATTGCAATAACTGCTGATATTGGAATGATTTATAGAGAAATAAAGGCTCACGAACATTATCGAGACTTTCAGAAAATACTGTGGAGAGAAAGCCCCAAATAAACAAATACAAGCTTGTTATTTAGATACTCTCACATATGGAACTGCAACTGCTCCATATCTTGCAACCAAAGTTTTGAGTCAATTAGTGATTGATGAAGCGATTGATAGCTGAATTAAGATTATTAATATATATAATAATCTCAATTCAGTTTCCTTTTGTTTCAATAATTCAACACATATTTCTAGTCTATTAAATTTATTTCATCAGCTGTTATAATAACTTCTATTTTCTTAATATAACTAGTGACACTTCCACATAAAGAAGTTCTTTTTGTTTTAAAAGTTATAAATTCCCTCGTAATTACTCAAAACAAAAACACAACTTGCTCTCAAATTACTTTATACCAGTATTAAGATGAAATCAAAACACTTACATTTTTCATCATAACATTATTCTTAAAATTCAGGTATAACGCAAATTCTTCTTATTAAACAGAATATATGTATTAATTATCCACTTACCTCACAAACTGAAGTAATTTTTCACTTCCAACTTCTGTAGTTACAATGCGTTTCGAACAATCAGTCACTTTCTTCACTAGTATTCTGGCTAGACTTTAACCAAGAAAATAAATGGTGCTTACTTGACATAGTTTCATGCGGCTGGTACACAAAAATAAACACACGAGAAAGGGACTGTATATTCTTCACTTTTTACTTCTAATACTGTGAAAATTACTACAACATAGCGAGCCATTCTACATGGCTGTCACAAAAACGAAATTCTATTCACCACCAGTTTAGTTGCCGCCTGCAATGAGTATTAAAGAGAAACATTCCAAAAATGATAAATCACAAATTACACTTCCGTTTGGAATGGATTGATGATTTTGCCATCAAATAAACAAACCAAACAATTTTAGATTTTATAAGTTGCTTGCAATACTCACATGAACAGAACCTGTTCAGAAAAAAGCAAGAAAAACTTGCAAGTACAACAAAGAATATCTTAAATTTGGATTCTCATGGACTGGAGATGAAAATGAGCCTATTCCACTTTGTGTCATTTGTTTTGAAAATCTAACACATGAAAGCATGAAACCATCCAACTTTAAGTGTCATTTTGAGACAAACCATAATCAGTACAAAGGTAAACCTGTAGTTTTATTATTATTATTATTATTATTATTTTAAAAATAAACTTAAGGATTTTAATCAGCCCTGAAAAGTAATGCGGGTTTCACAGGAGGTGACAATAAAAAATACTAGAAACTTCGTATCATGTGTCGCTTTTAATTGCAAAATATAGTGGAGTGGAAACCATTGGCGAAATTTTAATCAAGCGTGCAGCCAAGATAATGGTAGAAGTATTGATAGGAGATAGAGCAAATAAACTTTTGACCACATTTCTCATGACGACTTTTTATTTTGCCAGCCTTTATTAGGTCACAGAACAGGAGAAAATATCTTTAATGTTATGAATAAATTTATGCAAGAGAACAAAAATGATTAGAATAGATGTGTTGGAATAAGCACTGATGGAGCAAAAAGTATGGTCAAAATTAATAAAGGACTCATTGCAAGAATTCAAAATGTTTCCCCAAATGTCATATCCACTCTTTGTTGCATATACAGAGAGGTTTTGGCAGCAAGTAAGATGCCCGCTGTTCTACAGAAAGTTCTGAATGAAAGCGTGAAACCTGTTAACTACATTAAAAACCGTACTTTGAATGCACGACTTTTTTCGCAATTATATGAAGAAATGGGAAGTAGTCATGCCCAGCTTCTTTTTCATACCAATGTTCATTGGCTATCTTGAAGAAAAATTCTAAATTGATTGTTTGAACTTAAGTGTTTTCTTAATGATAGATTTGAGTTGAGTAATTGTTTACATGACTGGAAATGGCTTTGTAAACTAGCATACTTAGCAGATATAGTCTCTTATTTTAAATTGCCTCAACTTTTGTTACAAGGCAAAGGAATTTCATTGTTTCACATTCAAGATAAAGTAAACGTTGTCATCGCAAAACTAAATTTATGGCTAAAGAGAGTTGTTAATGGAGAAGTAGACTAATTTCTCTCTCTTTATGAGTTTATAACAGTTTTGACTACTAAAATTGTGCAGGGTCATATTAGGTGTACAATTTGCAGTTATGTGAGCCATCTCAAAATGTTTGACAGCAGTTCTGAAATCTGTTCCCTTTAAGAGGCATTTCTGATGGTTTCCAGAAACTTTATGAACTTTTCCAAAAGTGAATTGTTATAGATGGGAATTATTTTGAAGGCTGAGAAGCGTAATATATTTGTGTTTTCTGTTTTGTTTGTTTTCTCATTCCATTTACCAAACCATTTAGCTATTTTACTTAGTTTTAGGCAGATTTTATTTAATGAATAGAAAGTGCCAAAAATGTTTTATTTTTAATGTGTTTTTCCACCTACAATTTCCATACTGTATTTTTTATCTCATGGCACTTCATATTTTAAAATGGCCAAAGATTTTTTTTTATACTGAGTTCCTTCTGTGTTCATAAAAGATGTAAAATTATTAATCCATTAAGCAGTAAAGCAAATTTAATTCACAGATTTCTCATTTTAACCACGATCTTCTTTTACATATGCTTTTATTAAATTTTGTTTTGTTTCTGCTAATAAAATAATTTGTGCCAAATGATAGAAGAGTTTTGTAATAGCATTAATTATGAATTTATAAATAAAAAAATTATTTCATTTTGCATTAAAAGTTATTGTATTTTGCAATAAAATTTTGAAAAATGCATGAAACTTGTCAATGTAGACTATTTTTGTACACAATTTCTTGCCAATGTGTCACAAAGTTCAATTAGAGGTTTCATTAGTCATCTTATATTTTTTCCCTCTTGTTTGCTTTTAAAATTATTTCATAATTATAACAATGAGTACAAACAATAAAATATCTCACAATAACAATCAGTGCTAACTACAGCTTAGTATATTGTTTTATTTTTAAATTTATGTTTTATAGTGATGAAAATAAAGATGAAATTTTAAGAGAAGCAGAAGAGCGTCTTAATAATCTTGTTATTGATGTTATCAATGGAATAGCTCTAGAATTGACTAAACGTGAAGTATTTCAGTATCTCAGAGCTTTCAGTCCTGGTGAGGATTTCTTAATCATTTTATCAATTTTTTGTTTATATTTTATAATTGATTCTGTGTATGTGTAAATGCACAAAGAATTTATTAGCAAGTTCTTTTTTTTAATCATCGCAATGCACACAGACACACACACATATATAATGCTGCATCTATTTTAATACACACAGAATAATAACTCCATAGTAATGGGAGTAGCTCTCCATGATCTGAAGACAGTAGGGCAGGAGTTACAGAGAAAATTAAAATATTGAAAGCAGTATGAAACTGATATGCCTGGACTGCTGAGAATATGAAATTCCTATATGGTATGGTAATGATACAAATACTACAGTACAAAGTCCAAAATCTGGATGTCTGTTATCCGGAATGATCTAAAATCCAGACCTCAAAGCCACCTTTTTTTTTTTTTTTTTTTATGTATGCTTTACAATGCTTTGATTTTCCTTCATCAATAAAACATGTGGAGATTTTCACTTAAAAATTCAGATTTTTAATTTCACTTAGGCACTAAATAAAAGGCACTAAATAAAATATCTTGTAATAAAAAAACAATCGTGTAAGCATAAATTTGCGAGATTAATAGTTTGGCTCCGGAGCTAAGTGTCTGCTTGGCATACATCTCAAACCGAAACATTCACCTATTTCATATCCCTGATGCTGACCTGGCGAGTCATTATTTATTATATTTTGCTTTTATCATCACATGTTTGTCAATACAGGACAGCTTCAGTAATAACTCATGCAGTGATGTCTAACCTTTTTTTTTTCTATATTAGTAATTGAATAGCAAGAGTGTGGCAACCTTTTATGCTTGGCGATCTTTATAGATTTTTAAATGCTCTAAGAAATGTTGATGAGGGAAAATTCAACAAAAATTTCTTTTCATAGGCTAAAAATAGATTGTGTTATGAACTCATAGGCCCTCATGGAAAAAATTACCGTAGTGCTATTATAATTCAGAATTCTAATTTGTTATTCACCAAAACCCATAGCGGGGCAAATAAGGCTGCACCGGACGGCAGAATTTAGGGAAGACAAAATTTTTGGAATTTGGGGAAGGACCGAGCAGCAAAATTAAGGGATGATAAGTTTTTTTATAATTGGGAAGCTTAAGATCCAAAGTTTAGCACGGCGAAATTTTAAAACTTAGAAGGATCTTCGTAGCAGAATTGTAACCCCCGAGACTTCACCTTCCTTAGTAAGCTTAGTATGAGATTTATTTATTCTGATTGAAAGATTAGTTTTAAGCATGTGCAGAAATAACCTAGGTATTAATAACTACACTACCGTAATTCGCACGTATATCTCAGCACGATTTTATAAAAAAATTTAAAAAAACGTCAGATATCCTCACCACCCAATGTCCGTGGACTATAAGTCCGAATTCTTTTGTTAATACGGCAATATTCCCATGCTTTTTAACACATCCTTTGTTGCGCCATTTCTCACCGCTTTCTCGTCCATTCAAAATAACGGGAAATCCTAGTATCAACGGCAGCCTTGCTCGACTTTGAAAATTATCGCCAACACCAAAAGTGTGTCCAAGAACGTCTATATCTATATATACACCAGAGTATATGTATACACACTAGTAATATACTATATACATAATAATACATGTTTAACTATATATTTTTTTGAATGACCTTAACAATACGCAGTTAACCCCCCCGTTTTCCCGTTTGCTCACTAGTCGTCCAAATCCCGTTTCAACCGAACCGGAATTAAACCATAACACGCCCGCTTCTCTATTCCTCTTTTTCCCCGCTATTTTTCATTAACGTTATGATAAAACTCATTAAGATGAAGACAAAATACTGTGCAACGTGGCTATCCTCGTGATAAGTTTAATGAAAGGACCCTTCGACTCCACTCACTCGTGTTGCAACCACACATAAGTAAACGATCCGCTTTTTTGTTCGTACTCATTACTTGCTACTAGGCTCCTAAAACCGACTGACGCAGCATTACTTTTCCCTTCCTGCAGTTGGCTAAGCATGCGAGGTCCCGGATACAAGACTCGGTGCGCTAGTTAGTGCGCCTCAATACGTTCTATGCTCCTATCCGCCATCGCTGAAGGCGCCAGCTGGATTTTAGAGCTCTCTTTGCTACTACGCAATCAGCGTTCTGCCTATGCTCTATGGTTTATATCGTCGTCGATACATACGAATGTTTCGTTGGTACTTGCGCTTTTTTTATATTGATCATCGCATTTCACGACAGCGTGTTTTTTTAAATTTGAACGAGTTTAACCGTGAACAGCGTATTATCCGCACTTCAAGTCCGAAGCTTCAAAATTCGCATTTTAAACACCGAGCGTCCCAGACTGATACGCCGAAATTACGGTATCATTCAACTTATTCAGTACGCAATAGGAGCAAGACAAAATTTAGTGAAACAACGTGGCTTTCGTCGTCAATCTTGTAATACACAGCCAATAATGTATAATGGATGCTATTGAGCTAGGCTAAAATTATCTTTAGTGATTCTAAGGCATTTCAGTTAATGTAGCGGACTGCGCATCCCCCCTAATCTTTTAGTTTGATGCAGCTTATTATTTTTTGCAGTCTGTTATTATTACGGCAATTTTATAAAAACTGAGCTTGAACTTTCGATTAGGTCGAAAAGAGTTTCTAATTCTGGTGCTGCCAAAGGATCTAACAAATCGAAAGCAGTTTTCGATGTCCATTAAACAAAAAGTGGATTGCTGCAAAAATTGGATAAGGGCATATCGCCTCAAAATTGGGGCCACTAGCGGCTGAGCGGTAAAGGCGCTGAACACTGGTAGTTGCGGTCGAGTTTCGAATCCCGCAAACGCTTGCTGCATGGGCATTTTCCCGTGGTTTTCCCCATGTGGTTAAGTGTATAGCAGCCATTCCCTAGAAATTCCTCCACGTGATCCACCCTTAGGCAATACCCTCGTTGCTTTGCCATAATTGATAATCTAATCATCTGAAAATAAGCCAGGAGTAATGGCATGGAAAGTCACCTGTATATGACCTAAAAAGAATTTTTGGATTACGACACTCTCTTGCAATAATAACATAAAAATTGCATCATGACAAGTGCTGGTTGAATGGTCGACAGCATCGCGCCAGGACTGCTATGATGGGTACGCGGCAATGCCTCCAGCCAAAATATTTCATTAAAAATTACTGACATCGAGTGCACAATTTGACAGGTTGGGTTACCAATTTAAAAATCGCCCTGTGGTCAAAGCAATTAAAAATTTCAGTGAAAAAGCTTCACTGATACTGAAGTTGCTGAACAATTTGCAGACGAATTCATTGAACTCGTTACTAGTGAAACAATTATCTCCAGAACAAATTTTAAATGCTGATGAAACTGGTCTTTTCTGGCAAATGTTACCACGAATACCTTGTACCTCTACAGAAAAGGCTCCAACGTTGTCCAAAGAATACAAAGCCAAGACTACCATTTTAGTATGCACAAATGCGCAGAGCGCATAGTGCAAACTTTCTAATCGTAAACATGCACGAACCTCGAGCATTTAAAGAGTACATTTTCCCCTTATATTCGCGCAAATAAAATATCCTGATCCCACACAAAACTTTGATGAATGATTGGTTGAAATCTTTTTATCCCAGGCTCAGCAACCTTTTGAATCGGTGTTTTACCCGATTACTCAAAATATCCTGTTGTTGACAACTGTTCGTCACATACTTGTTAAATTTTGTGAAAGTAATGTATCCTATCATTCTTTCCCCCAAATTGTACATTTTATCATTCATCTATAATATCTGATATGCACATGCTGAATGCAAATATACAGTAACATTTAAAAATCTATGTTAATTTCTGAACAATGGCAAGATTATTCAAATTTTGAAATATTTTAGCATAAAATCTGCTGTGTGGAGCCTCCAAGATCGCGGAGATGTGTCTCCAGATACTGTAAAAATGCTTGGCATATTTGCCACTACCATATTTCATGGTGAGGACGATGAAGATATATCCACAATTGAAGGTTTTTGGATTAGCAACAAAGGTGGAATTTCTAGTATGATTTTCAAGAAGTTGGAGAACATAATCAATGAATATATATCAAATCCTGAATTTGAAGTTTTCGGATATCGCAAAACTAAAGGTGAAATTTTTCTAGTTATTTGGATTTTTCAAGAAGGTCGTAAACGATAAAATGGTAGATGATTAACTAAGTTTTTTTCATTGCGACGACATGCCCCGATGATCAAAATTCAACGGCAAATCTTAGTATGTTCGATTCAGAAATTCAGAGAGTGAAGAAAGTGGACAGATAGGTTATTGAAAATGAAAAAGTTTTCATTGACAAGTTATTCAGTACTCCTGGACAAAGCATTACAAGATATTGAACATTTAACTTTGTAACTGACAAGAAATTATTCTGTTTATAGCATTTAAGAGAATATTAGCACAAAAACGAAGCAACTTAACTTACATGAAGAATGTTTTAATTAGTAACAACTAAATATTAACTTTTTTTTTTTTGTACATTTGATACCCTTTAGATCATAATTGCTCTTTATTTCATAAATTACGGTTTCATATTGTTCATTATATAATTTCTGCATGCCATCTTACCAGATTTAAATTGATGGTCCGAAATTGCCCAAGTCCCGACAAGTCCAGATATCGAACTTTGTACTGTACTGCAATTGCCTGATGGAATTAAAAAAGAGCATTGGTTTCAAATTGCAAAATAATTAATATCAATATTTAAACTTAACTATTACTTATGATTTTCAACATAAGTTTTTGTTTTGCTTTTCCCTATTGTGGAATGGCAAGTTTAGTTGTTGATTTTTAATGTTGATAGAATGTAGTGCTTGGTGTGTTTTGTTAACAGTGCTAATTTTAAACTACATTTAACAATAAATAGCTATTAATTTCAATATTGTCCTATTCATTCATCTGGAGAACTTTTAATTCATTTGAGTGATTTAAAAGGCATCCATAATTTTTTACTTTGCTGTTATTATTTACAACATTTTTAGTAGCCAAAGAAATATGGCAAAATCACTTTCATAGTCCTGAAATAATAGGTATCCCTTCAAATGATGCTGGAATACAATTTTTTATTTTGAAAATGTTCTCCATAAAAGAATATTACCTTTACAGATCTGTAATTGGCTGGCATGTATGTCTCATTGCTGATTCTCTTTCATCTCAAACTGTAACTACCAATACGTATTTATTTTACGGAGTATGAAATTTCTGATCAGATAATGCACTATTTTTCTACTAACCCACTGTGAAATGAAGATAGCCTGTTCCAAATAAATGCATTGTTGCTAGTATATTTTCAACCTTATTTGAAGCAGTCATTGTATGTCTTCTTTACTTTCATGCACTGATATTAGAGCTATTGACAATTAATTGTACCTGTCTCTGTAAAGAAGCAAAAATATGTCTGTTTGATGGACTGGTGTTTCTGTACTGTTAATGTTATTCTTTGCATTACATATACCTAAGTATCTTAGTAATCTACAGCATTTTTTTTAACCACTTTGCATTTATTATCCTTTATATGATAAGTGACATTCTGATCTTGTTTCAAAGATCACATAGCCCTGCACTCATAATACTAAGAGTTTCCAACTTCGTCTGAAACTGTTTGTAATATATTCCGAGTCCAGGAGCTCAAAAGCAACCCACCAGTTTCACACTTTTAAAGATGCTGTTCCTATGACCTAGTAGTTAATAATTATCCCCATCTGGAAATTCGTTAGATTATTTCCTGTGCTTATATTTATCATGTTTCTCACTGTGGAATATGTGTTCTGTATAGTCTGTTATATGTTCCTTTATGCTTATCTTTTTGCACATTCTGTGGGCTTCGCTAAAGATAGAATTTGGGAATGGTCACATTAATTTATAATATATATATCTATAATAATAAAAGCAAGTGTGTCTGCTGTCTGTCGACCGACTCTCCAGCCAAATCTACGCCCGCAGGGACCTGGAATTTTTTATACGAAGCACAAAGGGCTGGCCACCAGACCTCAAGCCGATTTTCGATTTTTGAATTAGAAAATTTAAAAAATTATTTATAATTATTATCACGGTTTTTTGACTCACGATATTATTTTTTTTTCAATAACGTTCGATGTACAATTGATTTCTTTATTCTAGCGTTATTTGCTGTTTTGACGATACTTAATCGATTAATTACAATTTTTCTTTTTTGTAGCTTGGGGGGGGGAGAGAAAGACAGTCACTGTCCTACACTACTACCTGCGCTATTCACTTCGCATTTCAAATGCACGGGCAACGCCGGGCGGGTACACCTAGTATCTATATATGTGTGTAATCGTACGTATTTTAACAGTCACAATTTTGGGGCAGAATTGTGCACATAATTTGCATCATTAATACATCTCTGTAAATTATTATTAATATATCTCTGTAAGAATCTGTAATGCACCATCTGGTAAGTAACTAAAAACCTAAATTTATGTATGTTAAAAAAATTGTATTTTTCTATATGCAATGTTTTTTAGGTTTACAAGAATATGTAGAAGCTGTCTCCTTTTACCAATACTTAAAAAGTGGATGCCTAATTCACATTAATGAAGTACATAATCCAACCTTTTCACCTTCTTTATCCAAAGTAAGAAATTTCTCTGAGTTTCTTAACATAACGTCAATGCAATTGAACCTTGAAGTATATGAGATTTAATTGAACTGATTCACTTACATATGTTTCTTTTCCTTTCCTCTTAATAAATATATCAGAGAATTTCTGAAGATCTGCAACAGTTTAAAATAACAAGCAGACAAATCATGCAACCTACATATGTCAAACAGTTTAAAAACTTTGTCATAAGTACATAAGATTTATGAACATATTAGTCCATTTTATTATTTATTACTGTAAAACAAATGAAATTCTTTTATGAAAAGTAAATTTTTTCACAAAAGATGCACACTTCATATAGTATAACTGGCAGTGAGAGAAATGCTTTGACATAAAACATGTCTACAAGCATTTCATCAGCCAAAATATTTCCATTGGAATCTGGTTATAGTAAGGCTTGTATGATGTGCCTCTTAAAATGTTCGAATTGTTTGAAAAATACCATTGTGTTTTTTAGTCCAAAGGGGCTTTGTCTCTGAGGGACTATTTTCGTTTTCTGACTTTGCATCGAATCACTCTGAATGTCCGTTTCACTTTTCAAACTGTTGCCACCAAATATTATCGCCCTCTATTATACTTGAAGAAATGAAATAATGAAGAATCTGCTTAAATATATATATTTTTATCGCATTGTGATAAAACCATGGTACCTAGAGCCATCCGATTTTGAATGACGTAATCCTACTGTGAGTATGGGCATCTAGAAGCCCAAATTTTAAATTTGTTTTATTATCGATTTCATAGTTTGTAAATCTTTAACAAATTTTTGATTAACAAACTCAAGAATTTCAAAGCGAGAAATATGACAATGTGGTATAGAAAAACACCTTTCTATCTCCAGCGCGTGAGACTGTATATCGGAAATTCTAAAAATGTGCTCAATTTCAAATTATTTTGCGATATTCCCCTTGAACTGCGAAGAACATGATATTTAATAAATAAAGTTAATGTACAAAATGTAAAAAAATGCCCCGTTGGACGTAATTTAAAATTTGAAACCTTTCAGATTTTTATTTTTAATTTTTTTAGCGTTTCTAAAACTTTATTAATTTGACAGTTATACTGCATGTCATAAAAATTTTATGTGATTTAATAGCATGTATGCTAGGCTATCACAAAACAGTCATATCAGTTACATTTATCTTGCTATGATAAACTAGTCATATTACTGCTGTTTAGTTATGAATATATGGAATGGATTATCAGACTGGCAAACCAGACTAGACTGCTGCTTATGAGAAGAGTTAATTTCATAGTGAATTGTATAGGAAACTGCTTCAGTTATTTTACATATGAGGAAAATAGTAAAAACGTCATGCAGCTTACCCTTTTTACTCACACAAAAAACCTGGTGAGAAATACTAGTGCTTTGCAACTTTATCCATTATCAGTTCACGAATGTTTAAACCTCTTTTTTTTTTTTTTTTAAATGAAACACTGTATTTATAAGATGAACTGAAATGAAAACAAAACTGTAATAAATTATTACAATGTTTTACATACATGTGTGCTTGCAAACTGAAGAGCAGTTATATTGGGTTATCGTAAAAGTCATGACGCATATTGTCTATGTTTCATAAAGTGTATTGACTGATACCAAGAATAAATTTCATTCAATGAGATATTGGCCACTTTATTCAATAACCTTGCACCGTCCTTCAGGGAGCTGCAGAATTCCTCGTGCATAGAAGGACCTGTCTTTATCCCGAAAAAACTGAACAAGGTGCTGATGGTCAGCCTCATCGGAATAGAAAATCTTACCATGCAAGGACTGTTCCAGAGCGCGAAACACGTGAAAGTCAGATAGTGCACGGTCAGGCGAGTATGCTGGCTGTGGCAACACATGCCATCCAAGCTCCAATAGTTTTTGTCGAGTGACCAAGCTGTGTGTGGTTTTGCATTGTTGTGTTGAAAAACAACCGTTTACAATTAATGAGTTCTGGACATTTCTGGATGAGAGCTTCGTTCAAACTTATCGATTGGCAACAATACATTTCAGAATTAATTGTTTGATTCAGAAGCTCAAAGAGCGCGGCACCTTTAAAATCCTACCACACTGAGAGCATAACCTTCTTCTGATGAATTTCTGCTTTCAATGTTGTGTGAGGCGGATCCCCATTTTGGAACCACACATTACGATCACTACATAGTACACGATCCATTTCTTATCACCAGTTATTATTTGCTTCAAAAAAGGGTCATTCTTCTCACGTTTCATGAGCATGTCGCAGATGTTTATCTGTGACGTGAAATGAACTTCTTTGAGTTAGTGAGGAACCCACACATCGAGCTTGCTTATTTGTCCCAGTTTCTTCAGATGATTGTCAACCGTTGAATGATGGATGTTCAGCATTTCTGCAATCTTTCATGTAACGAGGGTTTGCCTCGATTAACACCTTTATTTGGTCGTCATCAATCTCGGTTGGTCTTCCTGGCCGAGAAGCATCATTGAGATCAAAATCACAAGCACAGAGTGTTTTGAACCAGAATTGGCATTGACGTTCCTGTAGAGCATCGTCACCATACACGTTACGTAACTTTTCATGGGCTTGTCATGTGTTCTTCCCCTTCCCTAAAGTCAAACAATAAAATGTGGCGGAAATGCAACTTTTGGTCTTCCGTCTTCCAGTTGTTGTTAAATCTGTAAAAAGAAACAAAACAAAAATAAATATCATTAAACATGATGCTTAACCTATCAGCCATTTATGATATAACGATTGCATTGATAGGACTAGCTCTAGTACTTCCACAAATCAAATGTCAACATAGGTTACCAAAATACGTCATGACTTTTCCGACAACCCAATAGTTGATAGTATATCTGCACAAATATACTGACCTTGTTAGTTAAATAGATGTACAAGAGCACAAGATTAACATACCTTTAAGCAAAATGTCATTCTATCCCTGATTATACAACTCATTATTAGTTGTCTATGAATAATCACCTTCTCGGTTGAAATAAGCCATGAGGTTCACAAGAGGATGGCTATCACTATTGGTCCATGAGATGATAAATACCATCAGGAATTAAAGTTTTTTTTTTTTTTTTTTGTGCATATAGAACCATTCTTGTTTTTTCTTGGACCTCATCGATGATTACATTATAACTTTCTTGAACTTCATCGACATTGTAACTTGTCATCTAGAATAGCATTAACACTTCCATTACTCAGAGGCAACCTGTCGGCAATTTCCTAGATTCAACAATTATTCTCACACTGCAGTAACTGATTCTTCAGTGATGATTAAATGTTTTTGATCTGATCGTGGCATACAGCTGCACTTATACCCTTATGATAAAAATCAGTGCACTGTGCGACATACATGTAGTTCCATACATATTCTTCATTTGAATGTAAATGCCAGACCCACTGCCATTTTCACCTGACCAAAACTGGATTTCTGTGCACTGAGCCTGTTTGAAGGAATCTGTGATAATGCATTACTTGCTGTGTCACTTAATGATGTATCACTGCTGACTGCTTCAAATTAGGTTTTTAATCTGCACAACCAACTCTTTGAGAAGTCTGCATGTGGGTAATAAATACCATTAAAAATCACAGGCTCGCTTTTATTTGGATGTGTCTTGTATAAAAAATTTTCCTGAAGTTGTTTATCTAAAAATATATTTAATGTAATTTTGAGGAATTTATTTATGTAATAAATATTTGTAAGCTAACAGATAAATAGGAAAAAAAAATCAAGGTATTTATACAGGGTGTTTCATAGATCATGGGACAAACTTGGAGGGGTGGTGGAGCGTACTAAAACATGCATTTTTTATATAGGAATGTAGGGTCTAAAGTGACGGGTTAAGGCAGGAGCGGGGGGAAAAAAACTGACACAAGAGGAAAATGTGTTTATATACAAAATCAACGCAAAGTTCTTCTTTGCTGCAATACAGTATTCACAATAAATGTTCAAGAAAGGGAACACTAACAGTAATAGGAACTAGAGCTGTGATTGGTAGCAGTGCAGCAGTAGAGAGCGATAATGAGCCGGACAAACTACGATCCGATGTATCAGAGGATCATCATGCATAGTGAACATGTATGGAAACGACAGAGCAGCACTACGGTTGTACCAGGAACGGGTTCCGAACAGGTGTATGCCGAAGCACACAATGTTCGAGAGGTTGCATTGGTCTCTGTGTGATAGCGGGTCATTTGAAGCCGCCTCTGACGCTAGGAGTGGAAGAAGTGCACGACAACCTCACATTGATGAATCTATCTTGAACATTGTGCATGAATCACCTCAGACAAGTACAAGAGCTATTGCACGTCATCTGCAGCTGAGTCATTCTACCATTTGGAGAGTATTGCATGAAAATAGTTTGCACCCATACCATTTTCAGAGTCCAAACCTTACAAGAGACAGATTACCCTCTTCGAGTTCATTTCTGTCATTAGTTCTTGCAGCAGTGGGCGGCGCAGGTGGATTTCCCATTGGATGTGCTCCGATGGGGCACGAGGACCAGGCACTTTCTCACAGACGGCATCTTCAATAGCCACAACATCCGTGTGGCAACTCATAATCCACACGGTCACATCCACATCATCCAACCCGCTTCTCTGTGAATGTGGGGCGGTATTGTTAACGACTACCACATAGGGCCCTACCGCTTACCTCACTACAAAGGGCTATGTTCCGGCTGTCGCTCGTGATCACATGTGGTTCCGGCATGTTGGTGCACCAGCCCAAAACCATGTGTGGGTCCGCAATTACTTGGATGGGACATTTCCGGGCTGATGGATTGGCTGTGATGGACCTGTTCGATGGCCAGCCCGTTCACCATATTTATCCAGCTTGGATTTTTTTTTTTTTTTTTTTAAATTTTTATGGGGCCTTTTGAAGAGCATCATTTACGAGACTCCCGTTGATTCACTGGAGGACCTCGTTGCGGCTGCAAGCGTGCGGGAAATGCCTGTCGTTTTTCTAAACGTTCATCAATCTCTGCTGTGATGTTACCAAGCATGTATTACTGCTGGTGGTCAGTTTTGAACATTTATTTTGAATACTGTATTGCTAAAGAAGCACGGCATTGTTTTGTACTTAAACCTTTTCCTCTCGTCGATTTTTGCGTTCCTGCCTTAATCCGTCATTTTAGATCCTACATTCCTATAAAAAAATGCATGTTTTAGTATGCTCCACCACCTCCAAGTTTGCCCCATGATCGATGAAGCACCCTGTATGTGAGCAGCAACTTGTTTAAGGCACTGGTATTTGTTGATACTAGATTTTATTCATATACTTTTATTTAACTGTTACAGTGTTTGACACATGATTGAAATTACAGTGAAATTAAATCTTGAAATATAAATCTACATCTGCATTTAAAAACCCTCACTATTATAACTATGATTAGTTACTCATTTTTTTTCCCTCCCATTTTAGATTGATGAAGATGCTGATGAAAAAGAAAATTATATCAAAGCTGAACTACCCTTGTCTGTTATACTGACTCCAACTGATTTCATTTTAGGAATCGCAGATTTAACTGGAGAATTGATGAGAAAATGTATAAATAGTGTAGCAAGTGGAAATATTCAAGAACCTTTTGAATTATGTTTAGTATTACAGAATATTTATGAAGCATTTTTAGTAAACAGTAACCATTCGAAAGATCTAAAACGTAAACTTTACACTTTAAAATGCAGTTTGCAGAAAGTTGAAAATGCATGTTATGCTATAAAAATAAGAGGTACTGAGATACCTAAACACATGTTAGCAGATTTCTTTTCTAATGAAGAATTCAAAGAGTCCGTGGACCCAGATATTTAAAATACTAAGTATAAATGTATTATAATGTTTTTATTCTATTTTATATTATAAATAAATAAGCATTTTAATGTTATTTTTCTTTTTCCTTTTCCATGATTAATGATGATCTTTTAAATCCTCAGCAATCATGTAAACAGTCCTAGATATAATGAGGAGATATGTATTACTTATATCTTTTTTAACTATTTTATAATTAGTATATTGTTTAGAGCAACTCTTAAAGCGATTTTTAGCGAGTGCAACTGAAATTTTTACTGAGTGGAAAAATTATTTCGGTTTGATTTGTACTAACACTCTTTAACTTAGTAGAATAAGTGAATCATACAGTACAAAGTCTTTAATCCGGATGTCCATAATCCGGACCTCAAAGGTACAAACTTTCTTCGCATGCGTAGTATTTACGCATGTGCGTTTAATGTATAATGGACAGTATAAGCTAGGCTAAAATTATCTAATTATCTATTTCAGTTAGTGTTGCAGATTGCATCGTTCCTTAATCTTCTAATTGGATCTGGCTTATTATTTCTTGCAGACTGTTAGAGCAATTTTATAAAAAGTAAGCTTGAACTTTCGATTATGTCAAAAAATTTCCGATTCTGGAGCTGCCAAAGGATCTACAAAGCGAAAGCATGTTTCGATGTCCATCAAACAAAAAGTGGAATTGCTGCAAAAAATGGATAAAGGCATGAAGAAAGTGACAGAGAGGTTAGTGAAAACGAAAAAATTCGATTGACAATTAGTCGGTATTCTCGGCACAGCAATTACAGGACTTGAACAGCGGAACTTTGTAACTGAACAAGAATTATGTCTGTTTTAGAATTAAAGAGAAATATAGCACATAAAACGAAGCACTTAAACAACTTACATTGAAAGAAATGTTAATAAAGTAAACAAAATATTAAGCTTTTTTTTTTTTTTTTTTTTTTTTTTTTTTTTTTTTTTTTTTTTGTTTTTGTAAATTTATACCCTTTAGATCGAAATTGCTC